ATGCTCTTAAGGACCTTATAATTGAGCTCGAACTCAATTTATTTATCAATATTAACGAAATAATTATAGAAGAATGTATACGAAATTATCTTTTCAAGCATTCGGCTCATTAACCAAATAAGTTTTAAATGAGCTTTTGCTCGGCTGACTTATCAACCGAGTTGAACTATAAGACCACCTCGTTTCATTTATGTGATTCAACAACTCTATCCATCTCCATCTTTTTGTTCGCAAATACTTAGGTGCGCCCTGGCACACCTAGCAAGATGTGCCAGAGCGCACGGTAGTAGCACTGCTTTTTGTTTGGCAAATAGTCTGGCACGAATAGCGTTACTGATTTTATTAACAGATATCATATAGCAAATTGAATTAGTTGGTTTGACTAGAAAGATTCAATTAACGTTTGTTAACATTTGGTAAATCACATAAATTTGTATAACCGTTACATATTATTGTCTTTTTTGAATCATCTATTACTACAACGCTACTTTTTATGTTTTTCGTAATTAGCGACACGTTGGATGCAAAAACTAATTAAAAAATTTTGTTAAAAAATAAAAAGTAATTAGAGATTTTGATTGTTAAAAACTTTAAATGGGTAATTCTAAAACAAACAATATGAGTACAATTGAATAAGTTAAATACTTCCAAATCTTAAAAAGTTTGGAGGTGATACTTAAAAAAGAGATTGATTTGTTTAGAAATCTCACTAAATTTTAAAAATTCTTAACAAATCTCACAAATAAATCAAATATCTAAGGATTTTGTAAGACTTTTTAAATCTCAACCGAATAGCCCAAAACTTTTATAAAAAGTCTTAATAAAACTAAATTGAATACACCATAATTTATGAAATTTTAAGAAGTCTTTATAAATTCCAATTGAACACAACCTTTAAGATTTCATTGAATTCTCCTAAAATCTAAAATTAGTCTAAATATGCACTTGAAAACCCAATGGAATGCGCCTATAAGTACTAATTCGGTAATTCCACCCATTGGGTTTTTGGTGTAGAATATTATTATTATTATTATTATTATTATTATTATTATTATTATTATTATTATTATTATTTGTTGTCAAATGGAAGTTAACAACAACCAAATTGGGATGTAGTTTAAGTAAATTTGAGTGTTCAACGATGAAGAACTTGTATATTATGACTGAAAATATAATTTCTAGTAAAGTGGTATTCTTGTCCCTTTGGGAAATTCTCTATTTCCCTTTTATATTTACATACCATATTTATCTGTACAATAATCATTACATTTTGAAAGGTCAAAGGCGGCTCTTAGTTGCTTCTCTTGATAGCTTGCCACTTGGATAAATGTAATGATGAATTATGCTGAGTTGTCGCCGCCTTACCATGCTGAGGTGGCATGTTATAGATATCGGTCCACCCAGTTATAACCGACATGTTGTGACTGACATGTGCTAACCGACATGTGTTGACCGACATGTGTTGGCCGACATGTGTTGGCCGACATGTGTTGACCGACATGTGATATCGGTCAACTTAGTAAGGATGTCGGTTTCTGCTGAATCTTTCAGTGTGTAGTCATCTTGAAGCTGGTGGAAGCGTCACTCGCTCGCATGAACTTTAATCACCATTATATTGATCTCAATCAACGGATTAATGTCGCTTAATCTGACTTACGGAAAATGATATCAACATTATTATTATTATTATTATTATTATCTTGGAGAATAAGTTAGAAATTAAATATTAGA